TTAGTACCACTTTTTTTCCTTTTATCTAGATTCTATTGGCGGAAAATCAGTCTAATAAACATCAATAAATTACTTCTTTTTAAATGCGTTTATTAATGCACTGCAGTTATACGAAATAGTGGGGTTCATTCTGACATGATCACACACGCAGGGGATATTCTTCATGTGTTTATACCTTCAATAAAATCAAAAGTTCTGCACTATTTGTGAAACTAATAAATAAGGGTTGACTATAATTCCAGACAAATTTAACTTTAAAAAATATTTTGGTCATGAAATAGACATGCCACTCAAATTCTTTAGACAGAAAATCCTACCTATGTAAGTAAAAGTTGACTTGTTGCTTTATACTTACATTTTAAGGCAACATCCCCCTGCTAAAAGATTGAGGTTACGGCAGTGGAGCTGCCCATGTCCATCTGGGAATGGAATGGGGAAAAGCACTGGTCTTGGTAGCTTCTCTCACTGGTTGTACTGTGGATATATGGTTAGTTAAACACTGTGGAGACCCAATCTTTAAAGAAAACCCATTTGCAGAGACCAGTAGTCAGGACTGGAATCCAGCAAAACGTTTTCCTTCTCTCCATTCTCTGTCCTAGAGGTAAAGAGTCCCCTACCCACAGAGCTCTGCTGATTAAGGGCTCTCTTCCAGGACAGAAGCATTGGATTTGATAGAGCTGGTCTTGCAGACCTGTCTTTGCATGTGGTCATGCAGGAAGCTCAGATGCATTTACTGAGAGCAAGTTCAGACGAACTGAGCTGGGTGTCACAGTGGTCATTGAAATGAGCCTGGTTGGTTGTTGCTGCTCCTGTTCTTACACTCACCACCAGCTAAAGTTACATATTTTTTTTCTTTTCTTTTCACTTGTTAAGTACCTCTCTTCTTCTTCCTGGAGAAGAGTGGACCTTATTCTCTATGTTAGACAAACTGTAAATGCTTCAGGATAGCAGTATGCAGCCATGAAAACAGACACTCTGGCTTTTTGAAATACAGTGAGGTCCATGCAGGGGATTTATTTATCCTCAAGGGTTTTGAGGGGCTGAAGAAGTAAAAGGAATTCTTGGAGATACTCAGAGATCTGGGAAGCATCAGGGGTAGGGCAGCATCACCCAAACTCCTGTTGTGGTCCTAGGACCTGCCACATAGCTGCACTGGCTCGGGATGCTAGAAACAGACAGTCCTCCTTGCTCCACCCTCCCAGAGAGCCCTGCTGGGACCGCTCACAGGACACTATCCGAAACTCTGGTTCTGGAGTTCACCCAACAACATCATGGGGGTGGGAAAGGGCGGAGGTCAGTGGCTGCCCTGGCTGGGGCTGGACGGACAGGTCACCACCTTTCTCGAATGCAGTCCAGGTGAGTGAAAGAAGAGCCCTATTCCTCACGCCGTCCACCCGCTTCAGTCTCACGGATGCTGATGGTGTAAGGGACCTGAGTGTTAATCTAGTATATATTCTTAACTGTTAAGTATCATGGTACAAATTAACTCGGAGGGCTACAGGGAGCTTTTAAAAACAGTAGATCTTCCTAAGAAGAGCAGCTCATTAGGGCTAAATGACACTGGTATTCACCCCAGGTGCTGTTTTAGTCCCCTCCCTCCAGAGATGAGTACCTGCAGCTGTGATCCTGTGGATCTGCTGGACTATTATTGCATGGATTCACAAGTCTGTGATTCTATGAGCTGGTGTCCAAAGAAACAAATGGGAGGAAACTTCTAGGGACTTTTGGAGATAACCCCATGACTCATCCTGGAGCTGGCTCCTGTCATCTGACTTCTCCTATAAAGTGGGTGGAGCACAACCCACCCACCTGTTTAGGTGGCACATGGATGCAGTGTCTCTCACCAGGGATGTCGGCGTTGCCTGGAGATGTCAAAGCCATTAGTGAGATCCTGACCCCACAGAGCAGGAAGTGAGCCTTCCCAGATGATGTGAGATGTACAGACTGGTCACTACAGGACAGCCCTTCCTACACGGATGGAGCCTGGTCTGAGTCACTCTCAGTGTAAAGCACCCTCCTCCATCCATCCATCCATCCATCCATCCATCCATCCATCCATCCATCCATTCATCCATCCATTCATTCGTTCACTCAGTTAACATCTCTCTGGTCTTATGATGCTAGATGGTGGCTTGAAAATGAAAATCACAGTGGGAACAGCTCCATGGAGAGCTAGGTTGTGGAAGTCTGCCTTTCCTTTGCCTTTCCTTTTTAGAACAGGCTCCTACAATCACAGATAGCATGGCTGGAAGGGGCTTCCCCAACTAGAGAAAATGAAATGCCCAGAGAGGGCAGGACACTGTGGAGTCACAGAATGGGGCTGTGGTAGAATCAGAAGAGCTCAGCTCTCCCTATCTGCACCCCCAGTCTCTTTTCTATTTTGTGGACCTGAGTTGAATTGACCAGCTTTGAGGGGCCTTTCCTCCCTGTGAAGTGCACTGTTGCATCCTACGTACAACATAGCCCGCTTCTTAGTGACCGAAAAGTGTGGTTCCTAAGACAAGACGGACTTTAATGCCAGGAGCGATATGTCATGGTGAACAACCAATTAAATCTGCAGTCCCTCATGCTTTGGTTCAAGTTCTGGCTCTGTGACTTCTAGCTATGTGAGCCTGGGCAAGCTATTTGTTTGTTTCTTTGAGACACTGCTGTGAAGACTAAATTTGAAAAGCTATTCGTGGGAAGGAGCTGACCCTACTAAGAGGTTGCTGCTTTCCCCTTCCATTAACAGAACGTCAGGCCTGGATCACCCCAAGGAGAGATGCTTCGAGGAGCAGGAATGGATTGGGACTTGGACCAAAGTCCCTCCCCACTCCTCCCTCCCATTGGGAGAGGGACTGGTGGGCTCCATAGAGGAGGTTCTGGAGTGTGACATGCCCATCAGGCAGAGATGACAGGAGGAGGCAGGACACTTCCCCAGCCTGGGGAAGAACCTCCTGTTTTTATTTCTTCCAAATTGTTCAGGAGCGTACTTGACAAGACCTGGCTGAAATAGTGGGCTTTTTTTTGTTGTTGTTGTTATTATTGTTTAGGAAATTTGTGAGCCTAAAAGCTTTTGGATTCAGGGGAATCCAGGATCTATTTTGGACAAATACAGGAGCATCTTTTACCTGAGAGGCTCTGGCTGATCCTACGTGACATTTGGAGCCAGAGTTAGGCTCAGACTCAAAACTAGCCTCTTAAACTGAGCAACCCAAGATGGCTCAGGAAGGAGAGTTCAGGCTCTGGGAATAGACAGGTCTGGGTTCCAGTGATACTCCATCACCTAACCGTTGAGACAGTCAGGCCACTGGGTCTCAGTTTCCTCTTATGTAAAAATGAGGCTGACATAACCCGGCTCACAAGCTAACTGCAAAGATTAAACACGGACAAAAAGGCTAAGAGAGCTCACAGTACAAATTAAGTGCTCAAGAGCGATAATTCCGTCTTTCCTTCTAACATCTACTGCTTTGGGGAAAGGAAAGGTGGCAGGATTCCAGGATGGTGCTCTGCCCAGACAGAAAAGCCAACATGATAAAGATCATGTCTGTGAAAGCAGGTTTCCTGCATACGAATTCTGGTTTCTCTACCTACCTACTTTGGAGGAGAGTAACTCCCTAAATCTTTCCGAGCTTCAGTAACATCCATCTGTGAATGTACCCACCTAGTCGATTGTTTGACACCTACAAAGCATGGAGCTAGGTGTTAGATGCTACTATTATTGTGATCACACCAGGCACAATAATAATTCCTCCTACTCTGGGTTCTTGGGAATCTAATCCTGGAAGTGAGACCCAGAAAGGGAAGGAGGAGGAGGCCCTAGAACAGAGGTGTCTGAGGATCACCAAGCACATACCCAGTTTCTCAAGTGTACTTGGAATAGCCTGATGATCCATGGGGGCTTGTTGCTATTCTGATCCAGAGAACATGGACTACATTCTTGTGCCCAAAACCTAGAGCAGCATAAACCACCAAGAAAGCCCCCTGAACAAAGACCCAGATCCAGGTAGCAACACACCATGTACCCAACATGGCGGATCTAGCTGTATCTTGGACAAGTCTTTGAAGACTCCAGTGGCCTAGAAAGAGCTCCATTAGGGACAGATTGCATGAGCATCACTCATAACTTCTAGGAAAAGAAGGTAGACTTGTTTCATGAAGAAGGCAGCAGGAATCATTTTATCTGTTTGGGAAAATTCAAAGTCAAGCCGAGACATGCCCTGCCTGTGACTGAGGACCCAGGCGTACTGGGGAGGAATCTCGCCAATGCAGCATCAGCCCTGGTCCTCGTGATGTCCGCGGTGTTTCATTAGATGCCATTAAATTGCCTCATTGCCGCCCTATAAAAAGTCTCCCGACTGCCGGTTCCTCAGATCCTTGCCTCCTTGCAGTCTTGCTCCTTCCAGGAAAGAAGGTAAGTCTCTTGACCTGGGATAGGGACTTGTCAAGAAACAGAGCGGGTGAGGTTGGGCTGCAGAGACCCAGGATGAAGGATGAGCCAGGACTGGACCCTGGACAGCCATGAAGACAGGCGACGGTACAGCTGGCGGGAAGCCTGGATCCGGGGACGCGAGAGTCCAGGGACAGGTGTAGCAGGTGGTTCTGTGTGGGAAGGGAATCCAGAGACCTGTGCTCCCCACAGCCCTTCTCTGAGTGCGCTTGTGGGGTGTTCTCTTAGGTCCACTGATGAAGGAAGTAAAATGAGGTCCAGCTGATCAGGGAGCAAACGGCAGACACGTAGCCAACCYGGTCCTGGTTCTTGGCTCCTGTCAGGCTCAGCTCGAGCCTGGAGTTAGCTCAGGGTCTGTTGACATGGGTTTTCCTTCTTGGGGTGCTCCCTGGCTGGAGACAGTTGGCAGCTGCCAGGGGTAAAGCATTTGGGTGCCCATGATCTTCTCAGGAAGGTCCCCGCCTGCCCGTCACTCTGTCTCAAGGGGAAGCTGCATATTTCTCTGGAAGACTTCTAAGGTTCACAGTGTTGATGAGACCTCTCTTTTCAGATTTCACAAAGCCACAGCAAGATGTGTGACCAGCAGAAGCAGGCACAGTTTGCTCCGTCTTGTGTGAAGGGTTCAGGATTGGGGTCTGCCCAAGGGTCCGGTGGTGGTGCTGTTCAGGGCCAGGGTCCAGGCCAGACCCAAACTGTCTGTGTGACCGGCCCTGCTCCCTCGCAGCCTCAGACCTTTGTGACATACTTAGCTCCAGTCCCAGCTCAAACCTATGTGAGGGTCCCAGCTCCCTGCCAGACCTACGTGAAGTGTCCAGTTCCCTGCCAGACGAAAACCTACGTGAAGTGCCCTGCTCCCTGCCAGACCTATGTGAAGTGCCCGGCTCCCTGCCAGACCACCTGTGTGAAATGCCCGACCCCCTGCCAGACGTATGTGAAGTGCCCGGCTCCCTGCCAGACGACCTATGTGAAATGTCCAGCTCCCTGCCAGACCCAGACGTACTACGTCCAGTCTTCTCCTTCCCAGACCTACTACGCTCAGGCCTCTGGGGGTGGCTCATCCTCGCAGGGCTGTGCCCCTGACCCCTGCTCTGCTCCCTGTTCCACCAGCTACTGCTGTCTGGCTCCCCGGACCTTCGGGGTCAGTCCCCTGAGACGCTGGGTCCAGCGTCCTCAGGGCTGCAGCACAGGATCGTCGGGCTGCTGTGAGGATTCTGGCTGCTGCAGTTCTGGGTGCTGCAGCTCCGGGGGCTGCGGCTCTGGGGGCTGCGGCTCTGGGTGCTGCTGTTTGGGAATCATCCCCATGAGGTCCCGAGGTCCCGCGTGTTGTGACCGTGACGATGACTGTTGCTGTTAAATAGAAAAAGATGGGCCTGCTCAGGAGCGCACAGCCCCACTCTGCCTTCTGAGACCCTCACCAGCTCTGTCCCTCCCYGGCCCCCACCCCAGTGATGCAGAACCTCCTCACTCCACCTCCGTCCTTTGCTTCTTTAACAAGGCAGCCTGCCAAAGTCAGCGCAAACCCCAAACTTTGGCAAGAATAAAACCATGAATGCAATGCCCGGTGGCTTCCTGTCTGTCTCTTTCATTCACATTGTCGTGCTTTTCTGTCCGAAAAGCTCTCTCTCTCTTCTCACTCTTGTTTTTCAATTAGAAGAATGATCTGCATCAACATGAGCAAGCAGACCAACCTGGTCAACCCCCAGCCTGGGCCCTCCTGCCTTCTAGAGGGCTGGGCATAGCTCCTCTAGGCAAGTTAGCAGGATCCAGGCTGAAGATCTGGGCTGGAGCCACCTCTTTCCTGYCCTCTGATGAGTCTTAGGAGAAGGTCCGGCCAGGAACAGGCTGTCATGGCCGCATGACTAACATATGTAAGCTCTTGGTTTATCTTTCTGGATGTTGAAGGGATTGGGAAACCCAGTCTTCTCTGAACCATTGCCAGATGACGGTCCCACTGCTGTGGCTGTAGCTTGAACCCACAGGGGACTTTGGTAGATTGCATTTTCTTATCTCATAGGCCACAGGGTCCAGGCCTAACAAGGAGTCTACAGCTCTCCTGAAGTGGGTAGACACTGCCCAGGTTGGCTCTGGCCGTCAGTGAGAGGTCTCCACGGGGAAGCTGAACGTGGGGGAAGAGCTCCCTCGGGGCCAGTTGCCCATCATTATTAGCACTTCTTTCTCCTTTGCATGGCTATCTGTGGAGGGTTCTGTTGGGTGGACTTTTATAACAAGAGACTCTAAAGCGCACACATTAAAAATTGGGCAGTGGGATCACAACTATTTTAAACAATGCCACAGACCTGATGCACAGGAAAACACATGTTTGGGGAATGCATAAAAGAATGAGTGAGAGCCGGGGAGACTGTGTTACCTAAGCAGTCTCTGGTTTGTGCTGGGACCCCAGCAGAAAGTCAGCTTGAGTCRTTTGCTGCCTTTGGATATCTGAAAACACGTAGCTGCTCAGATCATACCCCTCTGCCCATCCAGACAGCTTAAACTGGCGGCCCAGCCTTTGGATGTCCCCTCAGAGTCAGGGACAGCCCTACTGGGGACCTTGTGCTCCTCTGGAATTCCCAAGTGGAAAGGTGGAATATGCTTACTCTGCAACTTATATGAGCATGAGATTTTTTTATACTTATCACTTAAAATCATATAGCCAGCCAGAGCTATGTAAGAATGTTATTAGAACATACAGAGGTTGTAGGTCAAAATTAAAGCTGGTCAACTTCTAGTTCCGTACTTGTTCTAGGGATAGCCTTCTTCGGTTTGGGTTTTATCGGTCTAGACCCTTGTCTAAGTATTGCTTATACACAGAACTCACGAGCTAAGTAATTCCTGAAGCCCTCTGTGGTCTAGTCGGCAGAGAATGGCATCTGAGGAGTCCAGCCCAGCGCTGGTGTATCACAGAATGCTGTAGGGAATCCACTCTGCCACCCATCGCATACTTTTAAAAATCCCGTTTTCCATTCCTCTCATTATTCAACCTCCACAGTTGCTTAGTAATTCCTCATTAAACTCCCCAATATTCTCTAATATCCAGGCTCTGCGGCTTCTCTCCTCTCTCTCTTTACTGACCGCGTTCCTGCCCTCTGCTGCCCAAGGTTCTGGTCCTAATCATGCGGTTTGAATCTTTCCAGCTCCCTCTTCATTTTCTCTCTTCTCCYCCCAATCTTGGCGTCTCTGTTTTGCAGAACTTGACCTAGATACAAAAACCTCTCCTCTTTCCTCCTGCTATCCTAATTCTCTCTCTAGCCAATTGTATTGATTCTGTATGGGAGGAAGGGAAGGAATTATAAAGCTTAAAGACAAAAACATGAGATTTTTGTGGTTGCTCAGGAATATGGAGTAAGGAAGAGCAGGGAATGAACCCCGACTCATTAATAAATCTCAGTCGATTTCTTGTCTTAATAGTCCCCTTTTTTATTTTGTAGGATCACAATATATATTGTTCTACAACAAATGAATGTTGAGCATGAATTCTGGTTAGTGCATATAATCATATCTTTCTTTTTGATATTCTATCATTTCTATCCTGTGTCTAGTCGGTGATTTATCTGATCATTCCCTTATTACTGTTTTTTTTTTCATTTATTTCTCTTATGATTTTCTCTTTCCTTCTCCATCTCTCTCTTTTGTTATTTGAGTGACTATTAAGGCTTTTAAAATGTTTCCAATATAACAGACTTCTAGAGAAGTTCACAAATTATAAATTAGTACTCAATGAACGCACCTGTGTGACCACCACCTAGAGCCTAGAAAGTTAATGTCATTTTGAAAATAAATACAGTCCCCGATCCCCAGGAAGTGGGGGTCTGAGTTTGGAGAACAAACCTTTGGAAGAGCCCTGCCGTGGGTTTAGGAGACAGGTAGAAAAGACAGTGTAAAGAGATGTGGCCACCAAGGGAACCAGACTCTGGAGGCAGCCAGGAGCACCCCCCAGTGAACCCTAACACCCGACAGTGGGGACCTCCTCTTTTATGGGCTTCAGGAGACGGAGCAGCCTGAGGCCTGGGCGGTTTGGAAGAAGGATAAGCAACTTGTGTCAGATTTTCATTCATTCACCTAATAAGTAGGTACAGAACATCTACTCTGTTCTCAGCACTATTTCTACCATTTTCGGAGCTTATAGGAGAGAGAGAGAAAAGAGAATATAATCCAATAAACAAAGTGAAGATGCATCTATGACTGGAACTATGAGGGGAGAATCCAGAGTCCAACCCCTGGGAAACTGAGGAGAGTTCTCGTGGACAGGCTGAGGGGCTGCTCTCTGGAATTCAGAATGAGTGTGCTTCCCCACAATTTTTCCGAAGTGGTAGAAGAAGTCTGCAGAGTAGAGTTCTAAGGCCCTTCCCTGAGTAGGATAGTTTTTATGATGTTTCCTCTTCCAGGAAAATGCTTCTGTAATAACTTCTGAAAAATAAGGCTAATGCATACAGGTAGACTTCCTATTCCACCCAAATCCATCGTGGTGAACAGCATACTCATGTAATCTACATTTTTATTTTACACCTATTATAAATAGATTGTGTATGAATACATAGCCAATGTTAATAAGTACCTGTAAGAAAAATGACTCCAATCTATTCTTTTTTTATATTTATTTATTTATTTTTTAGTTTTCGGCAGACACAACATCTTTGTTGGTATGTGGTGCTGAGGATCGAACCCGGGCCKCACGCATGCCAGGCGAGCGCGCTACCGCTGAGCCACATACCCAGCCCTCCAATCTATTCTTGAAACCTAAAGGGAAGAACAGAGAGAATCGCCCTTTATTTGTTGAGGGCTTTCCATGTGGTGGACATCACTGCTCCCTTTACATGTGATATTCTCTTACCTGAGCAATAAAATGATGGATCTGCACTACTTGGCAAGTTGGGGGTGGGGGGAGAGACAGCTGGCACCGTGGTAAAGCTGGACCTTGGAGTCAGACAGACGTGTTTACTGAGCCTGCGACTCCAGACAAGTAATATGACCTCTGCATGTAGGTCAACTGTGTCCCACAAAAACTGCCTAAGACAGTGCCTAGCACATCTTAGCTAAGTGACACAGTTTTCCTATCCTCACTTGGAAGGATTGTGCCAATAAATATGAAAAGTGACTTGGTAAAAAGTGACAATCATGTCAGATAAAAAGCGTTGTCTCCCAACTTTTCCTTAGCCCAGCTCTACCACAAATTCCTGTTATCCCATTGAAGAAGCCGCTTTCTCTCTTCCTCTGTAAAATGGGTAAGGTGGGGGAYGCCATCACCGGAGCCTGCTCCAGCTCTCACAGCCTCCGTGTCAATTCCTTGGATCTTCCTCAAAGTTCAGAGGTGTCTTCCTGAGATGCTGGAGATAGGCAGAGGTTGGTGGATCACCTCCTCCATCCCCGGGAACAGCCCTTCTCCTGGGTTCGGTGCTGGGCGAGAAGGGGAATCTGAACAGTCCTGAGACAGGAGTTGGTGGAGAAAATGTTCCGATCAGATCTGATTCCCGTAGGCAGCTCCGCCCCTGGAAGGCTGCCGCTGACCTGATTACACATCTGCCGGGTGACACAGACGGGTGTTGGGGTGTTGGGGTGGGCTGGGCCCCGAGGGACGGAGAGGGGGTGGAATAGCATGTGCAGCACCGGGCTGAGAAAGGCCGGTGGTGAGTAATATTCGCAGAGATCCCCGTGGCCAGCCTCRTGTTTGGCCCACGTGGACGACCCGCTGGGAGACCTGTTCATCCTAACCTACCAGCCKGGGCACAGCGCGAGCTGGGAGCCAGGCCTTATTTGCTTTGTTGTCTCCCAGGACAAGCACAAGGTGACACTTGATATATTCTTGCCGAATAAAGGACGGAATCTTCCCCCATTCCTGTGTCTGTCCTGGGGAAGGTTCCCCATGTTGTGTGACTCCATTCTGTTACTCAGGGGACACGGGAGAACACTCATGGGTTCAGYTTCTAAGGCTTTCTCAGACCGGAAGACACCAAGCTAGATCCTGTCTACTGTCACGAAACCATCACGGTGCCAAGTGCTCCGCGTAGCCCTCCTCAATCACCCCGACTCAGCGCCATCCTCCGTCCCTCACCCTGCCTTGGGGCTGCTCGGCCTGATTGTTTTACTACCTGATACTTTGTTCCACATTCATCTGTTGATTGTTTTGCTTTTCCTGTTGGAATAAAATCCCCCTGAAATTGGGAGCAGCAAGGTTAAATTTAGTTGTCATGGTCTTTTGGAATCACAAAGCAATTTTAAGTCAGTCATCCCATTTTAAAAGCAGCTGTAGGCAAGAGTAAGGGAAAGATCAATATCATTAATGCTTTGTGGTAACCGATGAGGAAACTGGAGTTCAGAGAAGTTAAATGATCGGACCCAGATCCACATGGTGGGGGG